CACTGCAACCTCCACCTCCTGGGTTCAAGCGATTCTCCTGCCTCAGCCTCCCGAGTAGCTGGGACTACAGGTGTATGCCACCATACCCAGCTAAGTTTTTTGTATTTTTAGTAGTGATGGGGTTTCACTATATTGACCAGGATGGTCTCAATCTCCTGATCTCATGCTCCACACACCTGAGCCTCCCAAAGTGTTGGGATTACAGGCATGAGCCACTATGCCCGGCCTCTTTAATAATTTTTAAAACTCCCTAAAGGCTTGTGAATTTACAAGTCTACTTATAAATTATGTATCGTTTGGGAATTTGATAGTCATTGTTTTAGATAACTGGATTTTACCCTGTGGTAGACAGGCTGTCACGCTAGTGTTGCCCTGGTGTAATTGATCATCCTACGCCATCACCAGAATAACTTGAGAGCAGTGCCACAAACTAGAGTGTCCAATTCTCACTGTTTAGAGAGTGTTACTGACATACTGTGTATGCATAATAGCCACGTGTACTATATATAGCCCTTAAAATTAAACTATTGGGATTGCTGTAAATATTTTAAAGTACTGGAGGTGCCTTTTACTTGTTTGTTAGATTTTGAAAAAGTTTAAATTATTTCATGAGCAATCTTTTAAATTTCATTTAACATAAAGCTGAAAATTCAATAACAAAATAAAAAAACTTTTTAACAAGGCTGCCATTTAACTTAAATGTGTCCATCTTAGCTATTACATGTATAAAATTTTATTCTTTGAACTGTAGCAATAAAACCTCTGCTCCTAAGAAGTCTTAAGAGGGTATTCTATATATTCTGCTTTGTTTTATTTTCTGTAAATTTTGTAGGTAAATATGTGCATAAAAATAAATACTTTATATATAACTAGTGATTGGACTTTTTCTTTGGTTTATTGTAAGTTCATAACTCTGAAAAAAGTTTTAAAACATATTGTCAGGCCGGGCGCGGTGGCTCAAGCCTGTAATCCCAGCACTTTGGGAGGCCGAGGCGGATGGATCACGAGGTCAAGAGATCGAGACCATCCTGGTC